GTCTGTTCAGCCGGCCAAAAATAAAGAAGAGAGCAAGAAAAGAAAAGAAATCTGGGTGGTCAATGATTCTGACCAGCCGTCTCAGAAGAAAAAGAAAGAGTTTAAACCGTACGTCCCCAAGTACGAGTTTAATAAAGACTGCAACTCCATCCTCATGGAGGTAAAGGACCGACTGTCCATTGAGAAGCCGAATCCTATGAAGAGTTCTGTCCAGTCACGGAACAAAAATAAATTCTGTCAGTTCCATGAGGAGGTCGGCCATGATACCAACGACAGGTTCAGTCTTCAGCGGGCGTTGGTCCGTCTGGCTGACCAAGGGCTGTTGAAGTCCTACATTTTTATGTCCCCGGCCGGGGCAAAAAAGAAAAACAAGGGTCAGTCCTCCAAGACTACCCCCCAGCCTGCTAGTATCTTGGATACCGACAAGGAGCCGGTCTACGCAATAGCAGGCGGGTTCTCCTGTGGTGGCCCTACCATCCGAGGCACCAAGAGCCATCTTCGAAAGATAGACAAGGATGATGATGAGCAGGCGTCGGCAATCACCTCCTTCCCAGACGTCTTGATCACTGAGAAGGATAGGGGCAGCGTCCGCCGTCCGCATGATGACCTGGTGGTCATTGAATGTAAGGTTGCCAACCAACTGGTTGGAAGAATCCTTATTGACACCGGCAGCTCATCAGACATCATCAGCCTCCGGTGCTTGGAAAAGCTGAAATACAATGTCAGCAGCATGCATTCGTTCACCCACCCCTTGGTTTGTTTTGGGGGTGGGATGGTCTACCCAGCCGGAAGAATTGACTTACCCATCCGGCTGGGGGAGAAAGGCCAGGGACAACATATTGTCATCAGATTCTTGGTCGTTGAGGAGTTGACCGCCTACAACATTATCCTTGGCCGGCCAACCCTCAACGTAGCCAAGGCAGTAATCATCCCGTCTCTGATGCTCATCAAATATGAGAGGGATGACGGCTCTATTGGTTCCTTGAATGGGGATCAGAAGACGGCCCGGGAGTGTTATCTCTCAGCCGTCAAAGACAATGTGGCCCCAGGCGGTCAGGAACCAATTGACCTTGACAATGTCAAGGATATCGATCCAGCACCTGTCCCACCAGCAGCCGGAAAGAAAAGAAAGGCACCTCTGCTGATGGAGGTGAAGAAAGAGAAAAAATAGCAATCACTGACCGGTGAACGGTCAGATGAGCTCCGTCCCCAATGGGCTGGTGAAAGCATTGATCTCGTTCTGGATGACAGCCGTCCGGAACGTACTGTAAAGGTTGGGACGGTTGCACATGCTACTTTGGGTGCAGACTTGCACCTTCTGCTGAAGGAATTCAAAGACATTTTTGCCTTTAAAGTGGAAGAGATGTCAGGCGTCAGCCCGGATCTTACTGTCCACAAGCTCTCTGTGGATCCTAAAAGGAAGCCCATCCGGCAAAAGAAAAGAAACCACGGTGAGTAAAGAAGTCAGGCGGCAGCTGCCGAAGTCAAAAAGCTGCTAGACGCCAGGTTCATCCGGCCTTGTAATTTTCCCGACTGGGTGGCCAATGTGGTCCTTGTTAAGAAACAAAATGGGACCTGGCGCATGTGTGTTGATTACACAGACCTCAACAAGGCGTGTCCAAAGGACAGTTACCCGCTTCCAAAGATCGACAGTCTGGTCGATTCTACAGCCGGTCACGCCTTGATGAGCTTTATGGATGCCTACTCCGGCTTCCATCAAATACCCCTGTGGAAGAAAGATCAAGAGAAGACGGCCTTCGTCACTGATCAGTGGTTATTCTGTTATACTGTGATGCCGTTTGGCTTAAAAAATGCGCTTGCCACTTTCTAATGGATGATTAATACGGTCTTCATTAATCAGATTGGGAGGAATGTGGAGGCGTACATTGATGATATGATAGTCAAATCCAAGCTCCAGACGGATCACCTTGCTGATCTCCGAGAAACATTCACCATCCTCAGGCGGCATAAGGTTATGTTAAATCCTAAGAAATGCGTCTTTGGTGTTGAGTCTGGGAAGTTTCTCGGGTTCCTGATTGATCAAAGGGGGATAGAGGCTAACCCTGAAAAGATACAGGCGGTGATAGACATGAAGTCACCCCGTTCTGTCAAGGAAGTGCAGAGACTCACCGGCTGTCTGGCCGCCTTGGGGAGGTTCCTCAGCCGGTCAGGCGACAAGTGCCTCTACTTTTTCCAAGAAATCAAGAAGAAGACCAGATTTGAATGAGGGGACGATGCTGAGGCGGCATTCCAGAGGTTGAAAGAGCATTTACATTCTCTACCTAGGTTGGTCAGTCCTTTACCTAGGGAGACGTTGTACATGTACTTAGCCGTCTCGGATCATGCCCTCAGTGTCGTTCTCCTTGCTGAGCGAGACGGCGTGCAGCTCCCGGTTTACTTCATTAGCCATGTTCTTAAAAATGCTGAACTCCAGTACCCCATGGTTGAAAATTTTGGCCTTGCCTTGTATATGGTTTTCAAAAAATTGAAGCCCTACTTTCTGGCACATCCGGTGGTGATTTACACCGACCAGCCACTCAAGCGGCCAATGTCTACCTTGGACTCATCCGGGAGAATGTGGAAATAGGCTATTGAAATGCAAAGTCTTGAAATCACTTACGATCCAAGAAAGGCAGTGAAAGGTCAGGTGTTTGTCGACTTCATTGTTGAAATGACCCATCCGGTGGCTCCGGATAATCTTGATCAGGTTTGGAAAGTGTATGTAGACGGGAGCTCTACAAAGAATGGTTGTGGTGCAGGTGTAATCTACGAGTCTCCTGAAGGGGACAGATTTGAGTACGCACTACGCTTCAAATTTCAAGCCTCTAACAATGAGGCGGAATATGAAGCCCTGCTAGCCGGCATTCGCATGTGTAAGGCGGCAGGGGACATGAAAATTGATGTCTACTCTGATTCTCAATTGGTTGTTAGCCAGTATGAGGGAAGCTACGAGGCTACTCATCCGGCTATGATTAAATATCTTCAGGCAGTCAAAGAAGAGACCAAGGCACTTGAGGAATTCCGGCTTAGTCAAGTGCCTAGCTAGGTCGAAAAACAATCAGGCGGATGCATTGTCAAAACTGGCCTATTCCGCCTGCCATGATACACCTCGGTCAGTCTTTTGGGAAGTTCTTGAAAAGAGAAGCATTTATGAAGATCCCATTAGAGTTCTGGACCGAAGCTCTACCTGGATGGATAGCATTCGGGCCTATCTTTCAGACGGCACACTTCCTAATTCGCCACAGGAGGCAGCCGTCCTAAAAAAGCGAGCTGCAAGCTTCGAGTGGAAAAATGGAGAACTCTTCAAGGCGGGTTTTCTTAAACCTCTGTTGAAGTGTGTCACCCTTGAAAAGGGCAAGGAAGTTCTCGAAGACCTGCACTCGGGATACTGCGCCTCCCATATAGGCGGCAGGTCCCTAGCCATCAGAGCCAGACGACATTATTTTTGGCCCATTCTTGAGGCAGACGCCAAGGAGTTGGTAAAGAAATTTGACAAGTGCCAAAAATTTGGCAAACTCATTCACCGTCCGGCTACTGATCTGACGGCCATCCACAGCCCAATCCCGTTTGCAAAATTGGGCATGGACATTCTAGGTCCTTACATGCCTACTCCAGGCGGAAAGCGCTACATCTTGGTGGCTGTGGATTATTTCACCAAGTGGGTAGAAGCTGAGGCGGTTAAAAACATCAAAACCTCAGATGTGATTTCCATCATCTGGAAAAACCACTACAAAAAGATTAAGAATAGACAACACTTAAAATTGCAACACTATTAAAATTGTCACCCTTGATTGTGTAAGGCAACAATTCATATATGTTACTTTGCATTAGAACAATCAATACTAGATTGCTAGGCAACATTTGTAAATGTGTTGTTGTAGACCATATAAGGCAACAATTACTTAAAGTGTTTCCTTTCTATTATCTAAGAAAACATTCACAAAAAAGTTGCCCGAAATAGTATGTTAAAAAATCATGCATCACAAGACTAAGGGCCTATTCACATTTACTTAATTTCAAATCAATTCAGCTCCAATCAGTTCAGTTCAGTTCAGTTTAGTTCCTAATTTCCTTCTCTCATAAAATATTCATTTTAGTTTAGTTTAGTTCAGTTCAGTTCAGCTCCAATCAGTTCAGTTCAGTTCAGTTTAGCTCCAATCAATTCAGTTTAGTTCAGCTCCAATCAGTTATGCTCAGTTCATTTCAGTTCTGTTAAACTCAATTCAGTAAATGTGAACATACCCTAAATTAAATCTAGTAATTACATGTTTTTGTTTTTTTTGTCAAGATCGAGTAACATTAGGAGCGGCTCTATATATCATTTAATTTAAAACTATGTTCTACAAAATAAAAGATTATAATATGTGTATGTATTATCTATTTTTTTTAATATAACATAATTAGCGAGTTTAAATGATTTAAGAACAGGCGACTTATTTCGGATTCGAACTTGCTTAGTTCAAAGGGTACGAGTCATTAACAATTCAATAAATACATTTGGTTCAGTTTAATTTTGAGGGAATAATATTTTTTCAATAAAGATTCTTTTAGAAAAAGTTATGTACGGAGTATTATAAGATGATAGATTACAAAAACATAATTAATTAAAAAATAAAGAGAGAGAAATATTGTCAATCATATATTTCATCTAATTTACCAATTGGATGTTGGTGTAGTAGTGATTGAAACTATATTTGGTATGGAGACCTGTGTTCGATCCCCCCCCAACAACTATTGGGAGGGGAATGAAACCTAACCATCTAGAACTTTCCCTAAATCTGGATTAGCACAAAGGGTGAATCAGTTCGGTCAATCGAGTGAACAAAAAAATAAAAAATAATCTGTTAAACCGCGGAAATGGTAAAATAAAAAACTCTGTCTCCAACGTTTTCCCACTTAAAATCAGTTACTTATCACCTCATTTTCACTGCATCTCACATTCTCACATGTCGCAGCACATCCATGTCAACCTCAATTGTCATAGGTATCTCTTTTTTCTCTCAATTTTTTCCAAAATGTGAAATTACTTTGTTTTTGTAGGTTAATTTTTTTTTTATTATTTTTTTTTGTTTGTGGGGTGCTATTGGTATTGATTTTTCAGTTAGAGATTAAATTTGTTCACTCGTCTCTAGCATCTCTCACTCTAACTCCGATTCATGGCTCCCAGAAGCATCTATAAATTTAAACTTGTAGTAGTTTTCTCATCATATCAAGGTTAGAATTTTATGTATTATTTTTTTTTAATTTCTCAATTTTGTTGTGAATTTGAGTTTGCTTTGATTAATAATTTGAATGCATTCTAATTGGCGTATGAACATGTTGAATTTCTCTATATATATTCATACTGATCGAATTTTACATGCATATAATTTGGTTGAAGTATTTAAATGAGTTTGGGATTTTTTTTCATTACAATTATTGCTGCAATGAATTTATTTTCTATTCCCAATATAAATCGGCGGGATTCAGTTTTGTTTTATCGGCTATGGATATAGTTTTTGAGGGTGCTGACGACTTGATCTATCAATGAAACAGTAAAGATCAAAGCCAATCAGTAGGGCGGCTTGGTAAGGTCATCATGGTTGGGGTTGGGGATAGTTTGGTGAGAATCTATAAAGAAGACTTGTTGTAGTGTGGTTATTTTGAGGTTCCAAATGTTAGTTGTTTTTAGCATTTGAAAATATTGAAAACTTGTATTCACAATTATAAGAGTAAAGAACAAACATTTTTGAACCTCACAAGATTGACTATTAGTTTTAGATAGAGCATTTAAGATGAAGTGAAAGTGTGAAACATACACATTATACAACTCTAGTGAAAGTTAACTTTAAAAGCATAATAGTTGTCTATGGTTATCATAATTTAGAGGATTTCTTACTTATAGAATAATTAGATTATGACTGAGTTAGAAATATTGATCTTTGCTAAATAATCTGATTAGTTTTGATATTTCAATAAAGATGTAAATTTATAGTTCATGAATCATGATAGGTGCTTGTTTGATTGGGAAAAATAGGTAATAATCATGGCCAAATAAGCTATTGTGTTACTGACAATAAACAGATGAAATGGGATATAATTTTTAAATAATCTGTAATTATGTTTTCCAGAATTTAGTTCAGCTAAAAACAAGAAATGTATAGTATTTGGAGAATATCCTATACCTAGAGATTTTGAATTGCTAACCACAAAACGATTTTATTCTGTACATTTATTGAAAGAACTACTACTGGACTTCATCATCCCATATTTGTGAAGTCTTCTGCCTTGATCTATTTTATTTTATTTTATTATTGTGCTTATTATGTTTGAATTTTGCTAAAGTCTTCCCCCTGGTTTTCTAGGTTTTGAATAAGGCTTTTGGAGTTAAGAAAAGAGGTAGAAATCAAGATGATTTATCTGTACTAATTTAAGTAGATGCTAGCTTGTTTCCTTTTCTCTTATTTTAACCTGTATTGCTGTTGGCTATCTCTTTTTTTGTGTATGAGTTTTTGCCAATTCTAATCTAATAACTTAAGTACATACATGGAGCACATCACCTATAACTTCTCTACTAGCACTTTCTTTGAAGCTAATCTCCTACTTCTGAATGTATTAACTACATCAACAATAGGAATTTTGCAAATCACAACTGACCACCAAAGGTCCTTATTAGATGGTTAATTGAAATTTGTAGTTGATAGGTTGTTGAGTCCCAACCAGGTTACTTGTGGGTTGTATAACTTGTGTGTGAGAGTTTGGTGTTAGTGTTGGTGACATTGCATGAATGCGATTGTTGACACTTTAATATCTTTGATAGAAAGTTTTGCTGATATAATTTTGTTGTCCGATTGCTACTATATTATGTTAGCTTGCTACAACAATTGCTGCTGTCTATTACAATGTTGCTACTGCTGCTGCTTGCGGTTTTCCTTTAGCTGCAGTTCTGGTTGTCCCTAAATCAGTCGTTTTCATCTCCTAGTCCCTTCATGAAAGTTGTAGATCTTGAAAAGTTATCCAATATAGGCTCAAGAATTTCTAGATTTGGAATTGTATGCTAGGAGTTATGCCTTCTGGACATTTTTGTGGCCTGCTGGTTCTTTTGCTGCGGGGATGTTATTGTCCACTTGATGTCTATGTGATGTTGTTGACTTGTTGTGTTGAGTTGAGTGGGGTAGGGTAGGGTTGCTAAAATAAGTACTCTAGCATTTTCTATATGTTTTATTTTATTTTCCCTCCTATTATGTACAACTTATTTCCTAAATTAATGTGGTTAATTAAATTAGATTAATGACTATTTGGATAATAAGGACTAAATTTCCAAAGTGGTAAGGATCAATGTATAGTTCCTATTCACATGAAATATCTTTATTGTGGCTTAAAGCTTTGGTGACACTTTTAATGCATATAAATATCTTTCTTTGTGCCATTTGATGTACAGGTTTGTTTTGGGTGAGTTTGGTTATGAAGGATTATACACTAACAAGTTATAATGATCTTTTGTTTGCCATTTTTCTAAACTTGTCAAATCATATGTATCCTTTTAGATTAGCAATGGAGTTAGTTCACTAAAGTTGTTTATTGATTTCAGTTTTTCATGTGTTTTCCCCTATGGTGTATCGAGGATTTTTAGCATGTGGTGTTCAAAGATAAGCTATTAGTAGGCCACAATGAAGAGTGAACATGATTAGATGAGGATTTGAGCAACGATGGGGAAATTTGTTGCTTCTAATATTTGAACAAATTAAAGTTGCTTCTAAATTTGCACCACTCACTCTGAGTTCAAGGATGCATTTAAAAAGTTATCTTTGACTTAAGTTGATTCATAAATCTTTCTTATTTTAGCCATATTGAGTATCCGAGTTACTGGATATTTTCATTTAATTGTGTATTACTTATCCACATAACTATAATTATATAATAATTTGTGACATCCAAGGTTTTATTATTATTATTATTATTATTATTATTATTATTATTATTATTATTATTATTATTATTATTATTATTATTATTATTATTATTATTATTATTATTATTATTATTATTATTATTATTATTATTATTATTATTATTATTATTATTATATTTTCACAGGGAGTGAATATGGAAGGTGAAGGAGAAGAAGGCAGGCAGTCAGTAAGAAGAAGAAGAATGTGATGTTATATATCAATATGAATTTGCTTTAGCTTCTCCATTGTTATTACTTGTTTGAAATTTTCTTCTTTCTATTTATTAGCTTAACTAATATTAATAGCGTGCAATACGCTCTTAATCAACACGTTGATATTGAATTATTATTTATTATTTATTTTTACTAATTCCACTAGTTCAAAATAATCTAATAAATAATGCTTATTATATATTTTGTGTTCAACAATTTTCTATTATAACAACTTCATAAGAATAGAACAATTCGTTTCCACTCCTTCAACTTAAACTATCAAAGCAATAATTAATTACAATAAGAAAAGAAAAGTTTCAATTCTTTTTAGTTCGTTCAATTTATCGGTAACAATTTTGAAGGTGTTATCTTTATGAAATTTGGCAACAATTTTGTAGTGTTACTGGCAAATACAACAAGTAAAAAGGTGGTTGCATATTATGACAAAGATGACAATTTTGAGTTGTTGCCTAAGGTTGCAACAATTGTTTTTTGTTGCCTTTGAAAAAGTGTTGCCTAAGGTATTGTTTTACCTTGGCTTTATAATTGTTGCCTTTGGATAAAAATATGTTGCCTTAAGAATAGACAACGGGGGCATAAACTACACCTCATATGTGTTGCCTTAGCTACAAGACAACACTTTTTTAATATTAGGCAATGGTTTCTCAGTGTTACCTATGATTTTATTTTGTTGTAGTGAACATTATCACCTGGTATGGGGTACCTATGTCTATGGTGTTTGACAATGGCCCTCAGTTTGAGACGCCTCAGCTAAAAACTTGGTTGGGAGATCAGGGGATCTCAAGCTATTTTGCATCTGTTGTCCGGCCCCAAGCAAACGGCCAAGTTGAAGCCTTCAATAAACTCATCTCAGACGGCATTAAGAAGAAAATAGAAAGAGCCGGTGGCTTATGGGTAGAAGAGTTAATCCATGTCCTATGGGCCATCCGGACAACAGCAAAGGGGGCAACCGGTGAAATCCCATTTCTCATGGTTTACGGTGCTGAAGCCGTCTTGCCCATTGAACTTTACGAGCCGACTCTCAGAGTCATGCTATATGATGAAGAGGCAAACTGGGAAGCAATGCGCCTGGCATTGGACTCACTCCCGGAGCGCAGGGGCAATGCCGCCTTGCGTCATGAGATTTACCGTCTGAGAATGACGAGAGCCTACAACAAAAAAGTACACAAGCGTCCTTTGAAAGTTGACGACTTAGTGTTACGAAAAATGGAGGCAACCGGTAAGGCCAATGAGCTGAGGAAGCTAACCCCAAACTGGGAAGGCCCCTATCGGATCTATGAAGAAGTAAGGTATGGCACCTACCGCCTGGAAACTCCAGACGGAAGGCATCTACCTAGAACTTGGAATGTAGACAATCTAAAAAAGTACTACTTCTGAGAATGTAAATTTTTTGTAAACAGTGAGTCAATTAATGAAGATTCAGAATTTGTTTGCAAAATTGATTTATTGTTTGATTATCCATCCGGGTAATATCCAGACGGATTCTTCATTTACCTAACTAAGTTCGATACTTAGTAAAGGTTACATTTGTTTGACCGCCTGGGTAATACTCGGATATCTTGTTTATTTAAGTTTGATACTTTGTTTATTTAAGTTTGAATATTCGCCTAGGTAATACTCAGACGGATTTTTCATTTACCTAACTAAGTTTGATACTTGGTAAGATTAAATAATTGCCTGTCCGTCTGGGTAATACCCAGACAGACTCGTTTGTTTAAACAACTAAGTTCGATACTTAGTGTAAATTCAATACTCCGACTAAAAACTAAGCACAAAAACGTTTAGTGGCTATACAACCGGTCTCAAACAAGACCAGAGGCTAAAATGGCCGGATGGTTTCTCATTTTATAAAATCGCCTGTCCCGACATGGACAAAGGCGTCCGGCGACACCCCTCCGGGTGCAATCGTCGCAGAGAACAGACTATTTGTCGGTTCTACGTATCCATGTAGACGACAAAAATTGAACGACCAAATTGGTCAACTCATAGCCGTCTGACCAAAATGACCTATGAAGAACGATAAAATTTCCAGATACCGGATGCCCAGAGGCATCAGTCGTTCACCGGCTAAAATTATCACTTAGGTTATTTATGCCAAAATTGCACTTCCCACCCCAATTGGGGCAAAAGAGTTGTTCAATGGCTATGAAATCTCTACCAAGACGGACAAACGCTGTCTGGGTAGTGACTGGAACGCCTGTTGGTGTACGACAGTGCACTTGGTTTGGGGCAATCACTACTGTGATTGATTCACTTACAAACATATCATGCTCTTTGCAGCATCAGACGTTTTCAAGTCAATCAACCAACTCCACTTGAAACCAATCACACAGCCGTCCAGGGGCAAGGACAGCCAGACTATTGATTAGTTAGGCAAAAATGAAAAATCGACGCATGCTTTTGATAAGTTAGGCAAAGATGAAAAATTAAAATTTGCAAAAAATAAAATTCAGATGCAAAATGATCAAAACCGACTCAGTCGGTGCATTTCATAAAGACCACCCAACCAAACGGTTGTAGTGGATTAAAATGTTAACCGGACCCCGTCCGGGAGAAAGGGATTGTTAATTAACTCGGCTCCTTAGCCGGTAAATACAAATATACTCAGCACGCAGGCCGGAAAAACAAGTTTTGGCATACTGCCGCAGAACTAAATAAAAAATAAAAAAGAGGGATTGGCATACTGCCGCTGGAAAATCACTTCTGGCCTGCAGGCGGCTCCTCCTGGTCCTCCTCCTCATCATCTGAGGGTATCTCCTGCGCTTCACCCGGACCAGGTAGCTGAGGTACGAGGGGCTCATTGTTGGCATTAACCCAGGCGTCGAAGGACTCAGGCTCTGGATCACCCTTCTCTCTCAGGTACACCACGTCCTCGGCGTACCTGTGAGCCAGTGCCCAGACGCCATAATCCGCGTCCGGGTACAGGGCAGCCCAGGCGATCTTCATTCGGGCGTCATTATCAGCGTCACTCTCAGCAACAAGGCGGTTTTGCTCCGCTTCCAGGGTTGCTGCAAAGTTCTTCTGAGCCTGAGCAACCTCCTTCTCTAGTTTTTGAACCTTGGTCTTCAGGTTGGTGTTCTCTTCAGAAACACCCTGAAGATTGCCAAGGTCCGTCTGGGCCTTCTTGAGCGCCTCGCCAGCCTTTTTGGCACTCTCATCAACCTTCTTCTGGGCCTCCTCCGCCTTCTTCCGGGCCGTCTCAGCATCAGTCGCCCGCTGCTTGGCCGCCTCCAGATCTGACTCCAACTATTGGATTCTAGACGCCTGTGTCATAATGATTGCTTTAGTTTCAAGTTCATTTACGATAGTTGAGTGTAAAGCAATATTGGCAGCGTCTATGGCGGACTTCTTGGCCCTTTTTACCTCTTCCCGTTTGCGGGAATAAGGACGTTTGAGCCCGTCCACCCGCAACATAGCCTGCAAAAAAGCAAGCGGTGTGAGTATTGCAGGCGGGATAAAACACTTGGAAAAAATAAAATTGAATTGACAAGTTTCTTACCTCAGCCAGAAGGGATAGAATGCATTCAAGATTGAACGTCTCTATCCCAGGGATACTGTCTTTATCCCTCTTCCGGACGGCTTCCAGCATGGCCTTGGCATGCTTCTGGACGTCTGGCCAGCGGGGATATTGATCTGCACCACAATCAATACGTGATGAGTGCGAAACTAAGGCAGCACCTATTTGTTGCCGGCCGTCTAAAGATGACGTCTGTTGAGAGTGGGATTTCACCCGCAAAGGCCACCCTAGCTTAAGCGGGGATTCAAAAGTTACCTTTAGAACCAACCAAGAGGGAACCGCTTGCAGGCGTGGAGAACCCTCCGGTCGCTGTTACGGGGTTAACGAGGCTGAGGCCCAGGCTGCCGCTTACCTTCTCGTTACACCCCGTTATCCGCACCTGCTAATGCCCGGCTGAGGTGCCAGGAGTTGACGCGGAGGTGGATTTCTTGATTTTGTTGAGAACGGAGGGGTTCTCCTCCCTAGCCCGTTAGAGTTGTTTCTCAAACGTCTTTCCAACCTCTTCCCCCTGCGAAAATAACCAAGTCAAAGTTAGCATTTGGGAAAAATAGTTTTAAAGATCAATTCAAGAAAGGGTCAGGCGTTTATTACCTTGGCCTTGACCTCAGCCGCAACTTTTTCCGCAAGCTGCTTGCGGATGAGTGCAGAGGACCGCTTGGGAGTTTTCTCTGTCTGTAACATGTTTAATGCTTCCTCTGCAAAAAGAAGGAAATTGGTCAATAACATAAATCAATTTTGATAGAAAATACTACAGACGGATATAAACTCAGGTGCATACGTCTGGTAAACATGTGCCCTAGCCCGCAGGCGGCTAAGAAACACTCGTCCCTGAACCAGGCGCTCTTGAGGATTCAGTTCTTAGGAACTTTTATTGTTTCCCCGGTTGACAAGGTCGCGTCTGTGAGGCCGAAAAAGTCTGCCTCAATGATCTTTCAAAGTCTTCCTCTGGATCTGGGGAAGAGCACATTTTCGGCCCAACAAGTCGGGCTTCTTATTGTACAGACGGAATTCTTAATTCTCCCGTCTGGTTGGAGCTGACATCAGGTAGAACCTGTGCTTCTAGCCGTCGAATTTCGAGACCTTGTCCAAGGTCATCATATATTGGGGATGCGTGGTTAGAGTGTACCACGCTGTCCAGCCGCCTGG